TTTTCAACTTTGTTGTAAATGCAGATTTGGCGCTAAAACCACCCAATTGATGAAAGAAAAAATAAAAAAATAAAAAGCTTGTTTGAAAAGATTGAGTTTTTTATTTAGTATTTTTTGAATGTATATATTTTGTATTTGTGGTATCGCAACGAATCCTCTTTGCTTCAAATTTTTTTCCAACTTTCAATAACTGCAAAAAAATAAATGTATATTTTAATTTAAATTGGATCTGAAAATTAAAGGATTTTAGTTTGGATTTTAATTGTTTCTAAATCAGATTGCAGTATACTAAACAAACTTCCTTTGCTTTTTATAGCAAATAATTTTTCTCCAGTTTTTATTAAGATATCTCAATCTAATGATTGCATAATCTCAATCTAATGATTGCATAACAGCATAAACATTAAGTAATACATGAAGTAATTTCTTTTGTTTCATAGAAAAAGACTTTATGGAAGTTCTTTATTAAAAATTTGTTAAGATATTACAAAAGAGAAGCTGATTTTCAAAATATACATTTTAAGAAATGATAAAAAAAACAGCAATTAAATGACATCAGCTCCATCATAGTGTTAAGACAGTGATCAAAAAAGAGATCTTGATTTTTGATTGTGATATAAGAGCATCTTCATGTCAACGAGAATAGTTGGCCGTCTAGCTGGAATAGCTATCACTTGACTGGAATATAATAACCAACATATAAAGGAAAAATATATAAAAAGTAATGAAAAGCTTACAGAAGTCTTAAAAAGATTAAAAGCTAAACATTATTTTTAAGACTTTTCTCTCATGCTTGGATAATTCTCTTTAATACATATTTTACTATTCTGTTGTAAAAATAACTAAAACCAAAATATTCCATTTGAAAACTGTAAAAAACTATTCTAGATTATATCTAGAGTAATTAAATATATAGATTCAATGTTATTCAGCATTTTAGTTTTTCAACTGTTCGAGGTGCACTGTGTGCAGAAACTGCAATATTATGCATTTTTGTCTAAGTTTAGGCAATGATATCACCAAGTTTATCGCTATGTTTTTCTATTGTGTTTCTGAAATAATTTCTATAAAAAGCTTACCAATTTTTTTAAGTAAAGTAAAAATTGATAATTAATAATAAATAGTTAATTGATAAAAGTGAATAATACCAGAGGTAAAATCAGAGATGTAGTCAAGACAGTAAAGACAAAGGCCAAGACTAAGACCAAGACATTTGGGCTCAAGACCAAGACCAAGAAATAAAAAAATCAACCCAAGACCAAGACCAAGAATTTGAAAATTTTTACATTACTGGGATCAAGGCTCTCATTGAGAGTGGGAAGTTGCGGCGATCTACGGTTAATATTAATAACTAATCCATTCATTGAGTTGATATTTTTCGTAAGAATCAAGAAAGTAAAAGACAGTAATATACGAGACCAATACTCTAGGCTCTCAAGACCAATACAAACACCAAGACAATAAAACATGAGTCTCGAGACCAAGACTTTGGTCTCAAGACCTACATTTTCATCGGCTTTCGGCTAAATTCAGTTTAAAAGTCCAAATTCTGATTTTAGTTTAATTTGGTATTGATAATCTGAATTCGTTTTTCAGTTAAATTTGAGGTCTAAATTGATTTAGACCCAGTAACGGATCCAGGTGGGGGAGGGGGAGATGAGGATGGTGAGTATGCATTCCCCCTCCCCCCACCACCACCAGAATCTGAAATATCTTAGATGACATTCTTTTTTTTTTTTTTTTTTTACCGAAGACGCAAATGTAATACAAAATACAAACATATTTCAATATCCTATCCCCCCATCCCCATTAAAATTCCTGAATCAGTCACTGTAAATATCATATTTTAGTTAACTTCGGTTCTTAAAATGTCAACTACGGTAGTCCTTATAGCAGACTACTGCTGGTTTGTGGTGAGAAATACCCTAAACGTAGAATAAAAGCAACAGGGCAAGTAAAAAAAAACTTATGTTTCACCTAAATAAATATTTACAAAATATATGGAAAACAATTTTAGCATTTTCAATACTCATTTATTCTTTTTAAGTCTTTTCTTGTCATAGTATTAATATATTATAAAAGAAGCGAAAAAGTCATAAATACAAAAAATATATATTTGTTGTTATTTTTGCATACTTACTAAATGTTTATCTAAAAAATTATTTAGTTCAGCAAGATATAACAAGAAGCTTAAAAGATTAATTTTTTTTTTTTTTGACTCATTGTTTGATCCTCTAAATCCTAAACATTGAAAAGAAAACAGTTTAACAACAGTTAAAACATGTTATACAGCAGTTACAACTGTATTTATTGCTTTTTTTTTTTTTTTTGAGGTGGCTGTCGGGTACGATCAACCCCCCTCCCATTTTTTTTTAACCAAATATTCTTTGTTTAATGCATTTTGTTATAAGAATCGATCAAAATTTTTATTTGCTATTCTTAATTGGATTTTTTTCACAAACATAAAATTTTCAAGGTACGGGCCTATATAATTTATAATATATAATATTAATATAATTTGTAGAATATATACAGTCAATTATTTTAAAACTAGAATAAAACTAGAATACTTCAATATTTTACTAAAAACAACTAGTTTTGCATAAAAAATTCAAGTTTCAAAAAAATCAACTGTCAAAGCATGCAGTTGTTGAAGTAGTCAACAAAATAATTAATAGTTTTGCAAAATACAAATTTACTTCAGTAGTATTTATTGATTTATCAATAGCATTTTACACAGTTGATCATTGCATTCTCTCAGCTAAAATAAAGCATTATTGTAAAGCAAATACAAACTATAATTAAATTAAAAGTTATCTCACAGATATGCATAAAGTACTATTCGGAATATAAAATGTCTTATGCGGAGTTTCTAAAGGATTAACCCTTGGTCCGCTTCTTAAAATATGCTAATAACTTTTTGTTATTCATCATTAAAACAACAAATCTATTTCTTACCAATAATAATATTAAACAACTATATAAGAATGTGATTGAACTTTAGAAAGTAAATAGGACAAGAAAACTATTACTTAATGTTGAGAAAATGATTTATACTTTGTTTCATAAAAAAAACACAATAATTAAACATTCCTCAACAACAATAAAACAATAGTTAAACATTCCATTTTAATTTATCATTTTAAAATAAGTTGCCCATACTTATTTTAAAATGATAAATTGAAAAGCAAGTCAGTATAAAGTTCTTTGAAACTTTTATTGATGAAAATTTATCATGGCTTCCCCAAATAAAATATACTCAGCCAAATGTTACCAAAAATAGTTTTGCTCATCTGTTAATGAGCAAAGTCTCAAGTAGATATATTTTCGCCTAATTCACGTTTTTTATCGACTATTCAAATATACCATAAGCAAGCATGCACAAAAAAAACTCCAAAAAATTTTTAGGCGTCAAAACCACGTAGAATCATATTCTTTAAACATAAACAAGAACATGCTAAACCTTTTATGAAAGATATGAAAATGATGAATGAATAAGAAAAGAATATCAGTATTTTTTATATATAGATTTTACGATAACCTCTTACCAACAAACTTTAACACCGTGTCTAAAATAAATTTAAATAAAAATGTATAATCTAAGATCAAATGCAAGCAACACTTATAAATCGCATTGGAAATTAAAACATGGAACGCCTGTCAAAAAGAAAACAAATATATGATAACATTTTAGAAAAATTTTCTTTTTTCTTTTTTATTTCTTTAGTTTAGACTGGATATTAACGGGCACTTTTTCGTTATTTTTTTTTATTTGTTTATTTATCTCTTACTCTTTTATTATAAGTTTTTATAAACGGGCTTTATGCAGTGCCGCCGAGAGAGGTCACGCTGCCTTGGACAGCAATCCTGATTGGCGCTCTTATTCATCCAATTTTCTCTATATTATATATGAAGGACCTTTCTCTTTTTTTATGTACCTTCATTTTATTTGGCGCCCCTCGGATATCTGCTGCCCGGGACAAACTGTCCCGGCGGCCCTGGAAATATGAAAAGATTGTGATGAAGTTTGTCATCCTAATCTATTTAAGTTCTAATCAGCGCTAGCATTCTCTTTTCGAACTTTTTTATTTACTTGTAAATTTTTTAATTTATTTTAACGTTACATGTGAAAATAAAAATGTGAACCTTATTTTATGTTAAACAGATTAACAAAAAAAATTTAAGAAAGAAAAAAAATGTATATAGATTTTTTATAGATTATAAGCTTGTCATGATTTTAAGCTTGTTGATAAAGTTTGTCGATGGTGTAAAATCTAAATTTAAAAAGTTTAACTTATTTTGTACGCCAACCGTGATTATTAGGTAGTTCGGTATCCTAAATCAAAGCATTTGTCTATAAACTAAAGGAAAGAATACATACATTTCTTGCTTGTTACAAAAAGAAGTATTTCTCATTATTTGAAATGCATGGTTTAAACTTGTAAAAATAAAAACTTTAAATGAAGAAGCGGACACTTTTGTGTATGTAATTGTATTAAACAGACATTTTGTGTACAAAATGTCTTTTAGATAAAATTCAGAATCTTTTACTTGCTCTACTTTTTAAAGAAAATATTTCTTTTAATATCTTAAATTAATTTTTCTTTTATTATCTAAATTTAATTTTTCTTTTAATATTTAAGTTTAATGCGTTTATTAAGTTCAAAAAGTGGACTGAAAATCACTTATGTGATTTAGACTTGGTTAGATATATTAGACTACTATAAGATATATTAGAATTAGGCATATCAGATATATAAAAATACCACGTTTTATAATATTTAGTCAAAGATTTATAAATTATTTGATAAGGTTTTTTTTGATTTAGACAATTCGGCCCGCATCGAATTTTTTTTTTTTTATGCAATATGCTAAAGTAAATTTATTTATCATCCCAATTAGCACGTACTCAACAAAATCTGACACTTGTGTGTACTTGCCTGTATTAGACAGAGTTTGAATCTATTTACTTTACTGACAAAAATAAAAAATATATCAAGTAAAATTAACTTTAAAGTTTATTTTGTAAATACATTAAATATAACAATAATTGCTTTTAATAAATATATCGTTTTAAAAATTAAATTATGAATTAAAAATAAAAACTTCTAAAAACTGAAGGAACAAATATATCATTTTTGGTGTGGTTTTTTGTGACTAAAATATTTGAAAAAAGTTAATTTTTATTGGATAGTTTTGAATATTCTAAGTTCTAAGAATCAAACAAATGACTACAACGTTTTGCGTTAAGACCGATACTGTTTAGAAAACTAATTTTTTCTGTACTTATACAGGTGCTGTGACGATTCCGATTAAGATTTGTTGGGCTTAGTGATACTTGTTTTGAGATATCGAATGTGCTGACGGAGTGTTTCTCGCAAAAAGCGCGTCTCAAAGGAGTAATGCTTTGATAAGTCATAGTCGGGTCGCTTACAATTACTCCTGTATTTGTCAAATCTAAGCAACTCAATGACTTTAGCTTTTCTTTCTCCGGGTTGACTAATAAGCTGAATCTTTTCTTTTTAGAATTTAAAACAGTATTGTTTTCAGAAATATTGTTTGTAAACTTTGCAGCTAAAACTTGTAAAATGCATGTTAGCCAATTGTTTCTTTCTTCAGCTTCAAACGAAATAAAAGTGAAGCACTTCTTGTTCACAGAATTTGTTTTGATTTTTATTAAAAAGCGTTTAATAAAACCTCTTCTACTCTCCTCGACCATTATTGAAACGTCGTTTAAACTTATTATGTCTTTCGGAACTGAAGTTATTTCTCCGTACCTTTTGAAGCAATATAAGTAGTCGTTAGTTAGAATTAAATACATTGCTTTATATGATCCCCAATGTCTAAACACGGTTGATGTCTGTACAAATAAGTAGCCTTCCTTAATACTACTTTTTTCCTCCATTTTATTTTTTCTTTTTTTTTTCTTTCTTTTTACTTTAATTATAAAAGAATGTTTTAAACAAGTAACCTATTTGGTTACCCTAAATAAATATATTGTCAACGTGGATATATCGTGTTGTTGCTTTATTTACGCAATAATTTTTAAAAATTCTTTCTACGTTTGATAGCTTAACATGATTCACTTCCGTCTTTTTCTTTTAAACTAAAAACAAAACAAAAAAAACATTAGAAAAGTTTAAAGTTCAGTTATTTGTATTTTTGTAAAGCTCACTAATCTCAATTAAAGCAGTTTTTTGTGGGTATAAAACTGATAAGTTATAACACGCTCCCCCAAATTTGTATTCTTTGTTTTTGATCTTTTTTTTTATTATTATACGATAATTTACAATTTGCCAACATAGTTAGAAATAATATCGCTCATGTTATTTATGACGTAGCGTTAAAGTTGGCATTTAAAGAATGGTGCAGTTATTCCATGACTGCAGAGTAAATCAGTTCGTGTCAGTAATTCGACTAACAAGGTTTCTTATTAATTCATTTGCAAGTTTTCAACTCTAAGTTAATATTTTCATGTTACTGATATTTTCCCAGTGATGCAACAGTTAAAAAATATAAATAAATAACACAAAGTACAGTATAGTTTCTATTAACATTATTTAAAATAAAATAAAAAAAGTAAAGAAGTAATATATAACAAAGCGAACTTGAAAATTTTAATTAAAAATTTTTTTTTGTATAAAGTTTCATTATAAATTTTCATAACATTGAAAATAAAAGTTTTTATCCCGTCATTTTAAATAAGACGAACGTCTAAAAAAACAATTTTAAATGTTGATTTCTTTTTGTTATATTATCAATCTAATGTATTTTATTATCTATCTAATCCATTTTGCCAAATCAAGTTTTAATTGATTTAATTATTCTGTTTTTTTTTTTGTTTTTTTGTTTTTATTAATTAACAACTTAGTCCTGAATCAAAGTTTAACATTCTTATAGATTTTTACTTGCGTAAACTTTTTTTTAATGTAAACAAAATCCTCCCACGTAAAGTAGGTTCACATAAAAGCATATTTTGTTTGGATCAACTGTACATTTAGTGACACCCTATAAGACAACATCTTTTTAAATGCAGTTGATTGATTATTTAAATGAACCTCAGAAAAATCTGATGAGTAGCATAACTTTTTGGTTAACAGAACTAAATTTTAACAGGGGCGGATCCAGTTTAATTATTGTTTGTGACAAACCTTTTATCCGTCATTTTAAAAATTGTCAAATAAAACAAATAAAAAAACATTTCAAAACTTCTAAATAAATTTCAAGTCAATAATCCTTGTTTAATAATAAATTAAACGACAAAAAATAAAAAGCAGAAGGAAATAATTTAATTGCTGTTTTTAACTTCTCTGAGAATAATGTATGGATGAATTTTCAAACTAACATTATAAACAATTTCCCCAGATTTTGATGAGTGACAGTTACTGAATTTAATAAATCAGGTTTTGTTCATTGACAGCCCGAAGTCATTAACAATACATATTTCAAGCATGTTCTCAGCTTTTAATAGTATATAAAAAATCAGCACACCAATTATAACAAGTACTCTAGGGTGCTTAATACAAAGTAATTGTTTTTGGAAAAAATTTCAAAATTACTTAACGTCCCCTCCCGTGTATTAAACACCTAAAAG